TTTTGTCTTCATTTCGATCTCTTCCTTTTTTTCCTTCTTTACTTGAATGTGCTGCTCTAAAGGGGAAATAACTTATTTGTTTTTTCCACTTTTACTCGACGTATTCCAACATCCAGCTGCCATGCACGTGGGCATTGTCAGGTTCACTATAGCTCTGGTGAATTTCAATGGTGAAGTCCTCTGGAAATCTTCAATAATTGTTGTTGATTGCAGATGTGTCTAGTAGTTCCCATTGATTTTGCTTGTAAAGCGGGGAGAATGGCGCTAGGCTTACCCCACCGTGACGTCACTGCTGGAAGATGGCAGGAGCTTAGTGATTGCAAAGAAAATGGTTTTATTTTTTGGCTGATTAATACTAAATTCATTAAATCCCCACAAACGTATTAGTTTTAGGTATAGATAATGATCCATTGATTATTCCTTGCTGACCGACTTCTCCTTTAAATAAATGCAAAAATGTGCCACCTTTAGGACTGTTTCTTACCGATCTGCCTCTCGACGTCTGCAGCCTCGTCTGGCGTCGCTCGAGGCAGGATGCCAGGGTCGGTGAAGCTGGTCTGGAACAGTGTGATGAGCACAAACACAAAAAGGACCCCTCCAATAGCAGGTATACAGCGCGTCAGATGTTTGACCAGGAACGGGCAGCTGTGGTGGACAGAGATGCAGAGAGAGAACAACTTTAATTAGAGCTCAATACAAACTCAGTGTGACTTACAGTCTGCTCTCATTTAATAACTGAGGCTTTTAATTACCGTCTGAAGCCCTGAGAGGGAGAACCTCTTGGTGGCAGAGAGAATAGAAGCTTTATTAGGGAGGGAATCTTTTTTTAGTATATGGAAATTTAAAAAAATATTCAATCTGAACTGAAAAACCTTTTGAATAAAAAAGATGTGTTGAGAGCAATTTTTACATTTTCTAAGATTTTATTAAGCTTTTTAACAGATTTTATGTTTTTCAAGTTTTCCTTTTTTAGATTTTTTTATTATTTTATTGTGTTTTAAAGATCATATTTCTTTACTTAAAGCTCAATACAAACACTCACACTTGACACAAACACATCAACCAATAAAAATGTTGTTGCCAACATCCATGCAGACCAATAGAAATGCGTCTAACCAGAGGAAAGCCCGCCCCCAGGAGTGTTTAGGATGTTGTCTATAAAATGCTATTTTAAAAAGAAGCGGATATGTAAAAAAAAATCTGAAAAAACTGAAACCTAAAAATCTACATTCTGAGAAAAAAAAAATCTAATCCACTTCTTTTTTGGCCAAGAAGTTTTTCAAAGTTCAATTTCTTTTTCCAAAATTGGAACAAAGTTAACTGCATTATATCAGTAACTTTCTTTATTAATGAAACCATCCTATTAGCAGTAAGACAAACAGAAACAACCTAAGAGGTCAAATCACCTTAAGCAAGAACTAAAAATGCTAAATAAATCTAAGATAAATTTGGATGAGACATTGAAGTTTGTGTTTTTAAAGATATTAGCTTCTTAATTAGATAAGTGGGAAGCTGTTTCTTTTTTCGTGATCTAGACTGCTGTTACACAGCTAAAATTACAAGTTAAAATTGAAAATAATTGCGCTTTAAAGGTGGAGGTTTGTTATTTAAGATGCTAGATCACGTAATTGCAATATTTAATTAACTGCAGTTGACTTAAAGGAGAAGTTCGGTTTTTTACACTTTAAGCCCATTTTCTGTAGTGTCCAGGATGAAATCGAATGAAGGACACCAAAATTTTGACAATTGCTCCTGTCTCTGCTTTTTGGCTCATTTAGAATCCACCCCTGGCTGCTTTAGAATGGCTAGCATAGAGCATGTCCGATAATGTCCTTAAAACAACCTTAAACGTTCTTTTTCGCTTCACTCTGTGTACTCCGACGTCGAGGTGCTAACGTCTCTGTTAA